ACACCATGCTTGGGTTACTGCTCATATGAGTCTCCAAACAGACATCTTTGCTCTTCAGGTCTTTTGCAATTGGTTTTCCCCATGTGATATGTCATCTGATTTCTTGACTGCTGCTTCTGTGGGTGTTGATTGTGAATCCAAGTAATATGAAATCTCTGACAACCTCAATCTTTTCTTCATTTATCGTGATGCTGCTTATTGGTCCAGTTGTGAGGATTTTCATTTTCTTTATGCTGAGATATAATTCATACTGCAAACTGTAGTCTTTAATCTTCATCAATAAGTGCTTGAAGTCATCTTCACTTTCAGCAAGGAAGGTTGAGTCGTCTGCATATCGCAGGTTGTTAGTAAGTCTTCTTCCAAGTATGGTGCCCCATTCTGCTTCCTATAGTCCAGTTTCTCAGATTATTTGCTCAGCATACAGATTGAATAAGTATGGCAAAAGGATAAAAATATGACACACACCCTTCCTGATTTTAAACCATGCAGCACCACCTTGTTCTGTTCAAACAGCCTCCTGGTCTAAGTATAGGTTCCTCATGAGCACAATTAGGTGTTCTGGAATTACAATTCTTCTCAATGTTATCCACAATTTGTTATGATCCACACAGTCAAATGCTTTTGCATAGTCAAAAACACAAGTAAACATCTTTCTGGTATTTTTTGCCTTCAGCCAAAATCCATCTGACATCAGTAGTGATATCCCTCATTTCGTATGTATATGCTTAACGTATATAAAAAAACTCACCGCCATTGAATCGATCCTGACTCATAACGAACGCTCCTAGGGTTTCTGAGGTGACATGGAACTAAATTGCCCAGTCTTCCTTCCGAGGAATGGCTGATGGGTTTGAACTGCCAGCCTTCTTAACACATATGCATATATATATATAAATGACTTATATGCAGAATATTTTTTTTAAGAAAACAGCAAACAACCTTATTTTTCAATTGGAAGCATACTTGAACAGAGACTTCACAAAAGAAAATATCTAAATAGCCAGTAAGGATAGAAAAAGTTGCTCAACATTATTACTTATCAGGAAAATGAAAATTAAAACAAAAATTTTTTACACCTCATACACCAGAATGGAAAAAAAATAAAATCCCAAGTGTTAAAAAGGATGTTGAGCAACTGAAATTCTCAGATGTTGATGGCAGTGCAATTTGACTCAAACATTTTGCAAACAGTTTGGCAGTATTTGTAAAAGCTAAACATATGCCTACCCTATTATCCAGCAAATCCCAAAAGAAATGTTTAACCTGAAATGCATGTTCATATATACTGTCTTAGTATCCTAGGACTGTTAGAACAAAACACCACAAAATGGGTGGCTTTAAAGAACAGAAATTTATTTTCTCACAGCGCTAGAGATTACAAGTCTAAATTCCAAGCATCAATAAGGCCAGGCTTTTTTCAGATAGCCCTAGGGAAACAGCCTTCCTTTTCTCTTGTAGTTTCTGGGATTCCAGGTGTTTCTTTGTGCTGCTTGGCTAATAGAGGGATCCCCGCATGGCATCTTCCTTGTGTGATTGTGTCTGTGCCTGTTGTTGTTGTTGTTATGTGCTGTCCAGTCAAACCCGACTCATAGCGACCCCTCCTTGGGTTTCCGAGGCAGTATCACTACGGAAGTAGGATTGCCCAACCTTCCTTCC